ATTGCTAAACTGGTGTCTCTAGTCCCTGATTTTTCCAGCAAATGTTCCCCTGGGAATGGTATTGCCTTGGAAGCCAGAATATCCTTACAAGCCCTTGCTTCTGGCGTCTCATGTGATTTCTCAGTGGACTTCTCAGGAGCTCCAGTCTCTTCATTTTTGGTGGGAGATACAACTTTGGAGCAAAGTTCCTGTAATGGCCAAACAAGAACTGAAACTGGCTCTCAAGGAGGTTCTGGCACACTTCAGCATAACTTTTCAAGGTTCCTGTAGGGTTATAGCTCCAGATGCATTTATGTTACTATTATTTGGTGAAACAGTATTTGCCTGTGATGTCTTTGCAGAAATTGGGATAGTTATCTGATTGAGAACAATCTTCTGAACACAAAATCTTCTATTAGATCCTTTTCTTGCTGAGTTGTGCTTAATGAAGGAAGCTCAGCTGTACATGGAGGACTGGAACTCATATTGAGTTGCTGGACAGAAGTGCAATCTGTTTGCTCATCCTCTGTAGGCACTGGGGAATGAACTCTCAAGTCTTCATTATCCTTATCTTTAATGACATCAAACATTCTATTCTCCAAAACGAATTCACCTGGCATTCTTTTCTTTCTTTCTTTCCTTTTTTTTTGTATCAGGAATTGAACTCAGGCACACTCGGCCACTTAGCCATATCCCCAGCCCTATTTTGTATTTTATTTAGAGACAGGCTCTCACTAAGTTGCTTAGTGCCTCACTTTTGCTGGGGCTGGCTTTGAACTCTTGATTTTCCTGCCTCAGTCTCCTGAGCTACTGAGATTCAGTCATGTGCCACCATGCCTGGCTTAAATAAGTTTTATGTTTAAGGCTCATTTTCTTTATTTTTAAATTAAATTAATTTTTTTTAACTGGGGATTGAACTTTGGGGCACTTGACCGCTGAGCTACCACCTGGCTTTCTTGATGAACTTCCAGGTAATGGAGGAAAATTTGAAGCTAGTAAGTCAAACTTTGGTGTTTTTTTTTTTTTTTTGAGCCTTTGTTTCAACTGTTGAAGGATGGGGTCTTGGGATTCTGTCATCTTGTGGTCTTTGACCTCTGGAAACAGTTCTTCTGCTCCTACCATAGTCCCCATTCTGTTGCATCTGTAAACCAGGAGTCTCCTTGGGAAGGTGAGTTTGCTCCTGATGCCCTGGTACTGTAGGGTTATGCCATCCGGGTGGAAAGTTCCTTGAACTAGATCTATTCAATGGTCCATCCTCAAATGACACAGAGCCCTCTGTTGAATCTTCTGAACCACTGGATGACCTAAAATGAGGCTTCACATGATTCTTTTTTGGAATGGTTGACCAATATTCACAGCAGCAGCATTTGTTTTACAAGATCCTGGTGAATTAAAGCCATTCACAAAACTACCACTGGGAAAGGAAGCTAGTGGTGTTTCAAAGTAAGGTGCAGGACTTGGAGACCAAGACTGAGGCACAATACTATAGACTGAGTACTGTTGGTGAGGATTATATACAGGCAAAGACTGGTGAGGCATACTGTGCTGAAGTTTGAATACATACTAGAATCAATAACCATTCTTAGCAAAAAAGGTATTGATGGCCTTTATTCTTTGTCATGATTGGCTTGCCCTGAAATGTTATAACTTAAGTATTTGAAAGTCTGTTGTGCATCTGTGTCTGGCTGAAAAGTGATATACCAGTTGCTATTATGTGCAAGCTCACAGCTTATCATTTTGGGGAATTTTTCACTTTTAAGCAAAGCTTTCACTTCCTCTACTGGTGTTATTTCCGGAATCTCTCTAAGAATCACAATACAACACTAATGACTTGGTCTCACCTTCTCACCCTTCTCATCAACTTGTACCATAGGAGAAGATCTCAACACTTTAAGATCAGGATTTGTGGTCAACTTTTTTAAAAATCTCTTTTCTGTTGGCAATTGTCCAGTTGGGACGAACTGATCACTATCCATCTGAGCTATCAAACAATGATCCTTTGACAAGTTTTCTTGTGAAAAACAGAATTCTAATGTTTTCTTTAGACATTCTTTTAGGTCTTCTGTAGAAATTGCTGAACTACCTTCTCCAGAAACATGTATTTGGCAACTCAGTTCTTCAGGTCCTAATATCATTTCATCAGTTGATTCAATGCCTGTAGTGTTTCTTGTGGTTTCACAAGATGGAGAATATATTACTTCATGTTCCTTACACATACCTTTTCAAAGCTCAGCATCTCCTTCAGGATGAGACCCTGATGTGCTGCTGTTTCATGCCAAGGGCTTTCAGTTCCTTGAGTAGCATCAGGAGTTCTAGGAGGAATTTCTTGCCATACTCTTTGGCATTAGATTTAAACCAGTTCCTTTAGGTGTTACCTGCTTCTCCCTCCACCATCCCACATGTTCTCTCCTCCCTACTCGATCGTGCCTCCCTCATGACCCTTTTCTCCATCCGACTCCACCCTGCCCCCCCCACCTGTTTGCCTCCTTTAGGAGGTCCATATGGGACCAGGGTTTCCTTTCCTTTCTTTTTTTTTCCTACTTTTTTTTTTTCAAATGAGAGAGACAGTGTGACTCAGTAGAAAGCATAAGGAAGAAGTTGTTCTTATTAATTATGACTTAAAAGACAAAGGCAGAAGTCTGGTATCTGCCGCATCATGCTTCTAACAGCTCTGGCCCTTGGGAAACTCTGTACCATCCTGGAGATTTGATTTGGGTACCAAAATGAATGGGCAGGACTAAAAAAATACAAAAAGAAACATTTTTTTTGTTTTCATACATTTATAGATATCTTTAGTTATTTTAAAGGCAAAATTGATTCAAAGGTGGACTCATGCATTATTCATATTCTTTTTTTCAAGTGGCAAAATGGGACTTCAAAAGAGTAGGCCTTAGCATTGATATCCCTAAAAATCAGTAATGTTTTCCTTCTCTATATACATGAAAAAGAACCATGACGTAAATAGTTAATCATGTGATAAATTGATCTGTGTAGTATGTATCATAGTCACATTGAATAACTTATCATCATTATTAAAATGAAGTTGAATATTTTCCTTTTCTTGTGAGTGTAAAATATGCACAGCATCTAGGAATACAGGATTTTAAAGTGGTGGTTGAGAGTTCTGTTTCTGTCAACATGGCAAATGTCAATATGGTAAGTCTCTTGAAAATTTTTTTCACTTCAAGATGCTTAAGAATATTGGGTAACTGTGTGTCTTTGAGGCTTTTAAAAGTCATGCATAGCTAATGGTAGCTAATAATATTTTTTTCCACATATTTGCTGACCATTTGTATTTATTATTTTGAGAACTGTCTATTCAGGTCATTTCCCCAACTTATAAAGAGGAAAGGTTTATGGCTTGCTTTCAGAGGTTTCAGTCTGATTGATCCCCTTGCGTTGGGCCTGAGGCAGCACAGTAAATCATGATGGGAGCACATGGTGAAGGCAGCTCATTCACCTCAGGGCAGGTGGGTAGCAAAAGAGAGGGGTAGGGGTTAGGTTCCCATTATCCCCTTTGAGGGAATGTCCCCAGTGACCAAAGACCTCTACCTTAAATGTTGAACATAAGCAACCTGTGAGAGCAGGGTCCTTCGACAAGGTCATTCTTAACTATGATGGGATGAGACAAAAAGACTGCTTCATAAATTTGTCTAAGAACAGCTGAAAACAAGATCACTGTGCAACCCACAAATACTGAGCATCTCTTTCTTGTCTAAAATGAGTGCCCACTTCTCTTGAAATCATTATAGCTTTGTCTTCAGTGTAGTTTCCTTTCCATCTGGGTAAGATCTATTGAGATACCCAATCTTCTAGTTGCCCTCACTTTTTAATAGCATCTCAACTAGTGAGTTCTACTTCTGAGACTTCCTCCAAATCACCCAAGCAAAGTCTGAATCCTTTGATAAGTTCTCTCTATTACCTTCTTTCTAGATCCCGTGGCTCCCCTGGTGTTCCAGTATAGGTGTGCTCCTGTTGGCTTTTTAAAAAAATTTTTTTTGGTTGTTAATGGATCTTTATTCCTTTATATGTGGTGCTGAGAATCAAACCCAGTGCCCCACACATGCCAGACAAGCGCTCTACCAATGAGCCACAACCCCAGCCCTCCTGTTGGCTTTAACTGTAGAATATCAACAGCTTAAAGATTAAAATTGTCACAAAAAGACAAGTACCACATAAAAAAAATCTCACTCAAATGTGGAATTTACAAGGTCAATTTCAGAAGTTGCCACTAGAGTATTGGTTTTGGGAGGCTGGGGAGAGCAGGAGGGAAGGAGGGTTGGGAAAAACTGGTCCAAAGGTACTAAGTTATAGTTAGTGAGGAGTTAGAAGTCCTGGATGTGCTATTAAACAGCATGGGTATGCCCATTGAATGGTAACTCTCATTCTCTCTATCCCCCGGCAACCATCATTCCACTTTATGTCTCCATGAATTTGGTTGCTCTTGGTACCTTATATAAATGTAATCACCCCATTTTTGTCCTTTTGTGTCTAATTTATTTCATCTCATTTGTGTAATATCTCCCAGGTTCATCCACATTGTAGCAAGTGTCAGAACTCCCTTCTTCTTTAAGTCTGAAAAATACTCCATTGTGTGTATCACTACATCTTGTTTTTGTATTCATTTATCGATGGGCCCTTAAGTTGCTTTCAACTCTTGGCTATTGTGAATAGTGCTTCTGTGAACATGGGTGTATAAAAATCTGCTTTCAATTCTTTTGGGTATATACCTGGAAATGGAATTGCTGAATCATGTGGTGATTCTATTTTTAATTTTTTGAGACTCTCTGGACTGTTCTCTATAGCAGCTACTCCATTTACAATCTCACCAACAGTGTACTAGGGTCCCAGTTTCTCCACATCCTCACCAGCCCTTGTTATTTTCCTTTTTTGACAACCATCCTAATGGGTGAGGTGTTATCTCATTGTGACTCTGATTTACATTCCTGATGACTAGTGATGTTGAGCTTTATTTTTATATTGGGTTTTGATTACAGTGACCACTCTCTACTTCTTTCCAGAAAGGAGTTGAAGATGCTGGAGCAGTCTGATTCTCTGAAAGGTTCTCTAAGCGCAGAACAGCAGCTGTCACTCATCAGTGGTTGCTCCAACATTGCAGAAGCAGTAGAGGGCGCCATGCACATTCAGGTGAGTTAAGGACACTGGCAACCCAGGTCTGCAGTCCCAGGAGAACTTAAAACCTCTCCAGAATGGAGGAACTTTGGGGAGGGAGTAGAAGGAAGGAGCAGGGGGCAGGAAAGATGGTGGAACGAGATAGACATCATTACCCTAGGTTACATGTATGACGACATGAATGGTGTGACTCTATCTTGTGTACAACCAGAGAAATAAAAAATTGCACTCCTTTTGTGTTCTATGAATTGAAATGCATTCTGCCGTCATGTATAACAAATTAGAGTAAATAAATAAATAAAATTTAAAAACCTCTCTGGAAGAACAAAGAAAAATAATAGGCAGTGAAAGGCATGAATATTTTGTTACTTTAAAATCAGAATTCTGTTTATGTGACAGCAAACAGGTCAATAAAACTTCCCTTGTACAAATTCTCATCAAACTAGCATGATAATGCTAACCTTACAGATATTACAATTTTGAGCTAAACTAGGTATTCTGAACTGCTAACACTGTTTTTATCAGCCTTTTAAATGACAGATTATATTCTTGTTTTCATGCATAATGAAGTAAACCCTTTAAAGAAATCCTCTCAAAGAAAATCTTTCATTTGCATTTATCGTTTCCAACAACTTCACTTAAAAAAATAGTCCTCACAGGCACTGATTGTTCCTTAGCTGAAAGAGTCTGGAGAGAGGAAGCAGTCCCTTCAGGTAGAGCTGGGGCAGCCTCAGGGGCTGGGTGAGGTGACCTTTCCAGGAATCTCTCTCTCCTGTAGCTCAAGTGCCTACAGGTAGATCCTGCCCATGTTTAAGAACCTGAGGTCTAACATTATCTTTTGAAAGGTCATACTTAAATTGCTACAGAGTTTAGGTAATTATTTCAAATACCCCTTTTCTATATTTTGTGTTCTGAGATTTGCACATATCATGTTGTTTCCATGATGATATTCTAACTGAGAATTTGGGAACAAACCAAAAAGGCTGCATGTGTTTTATAGTCAGCTGTTGCTGTGAGATTCAGATCACGTACAGAAGATGGAGGTTCTAGGTCTTTGTGGCACTCAAGTTTCTCCAGTTCCTTTAACAAACGTGTATCAAAACAGAGCATAAGGAGAGGATCATTTCTCAATTCCTTTTTTCTTTCTTGTATACAACAGACTGCTCTTATCCTTTGTTTATTTTCTGTAGTTTTAGTCACCTGTGGTCAATAGTAGTCCAAAAGTATTTGGAGGTGGGGGAGGAGAGAGAGACAGACAAAAAGAGACTGACACACTCCACATGCACATAATTGATTACAGTATGTTGTTATAATTGTTCTATTTTTATTAGTTATTGGTATTAATCTCTTATTGTGCCTACTTTATAAATTAAACTTTGTCATAGGTGTGTATATATAGGATAAACATAGTAGGTACAGGGTTTGGTGCTGTGGTTTCAGGCATCTACTGGGGGGCTTGGAACATGTCAGGTGTGGATGAGGGGCTAGTATGTTTGTCTCTATCTCTTGATATAATTAGGGTTGTATGAAATTTAGGTGCTATAGGGGATCAGAGGGCTCCTGTGGTGAGCTTTCAGATGTCCTGTTTCATGGGTGCGTGTTGTAGGAGGACTTGCTTCTGGAGAACACAGAAGCTTTCCATGCCTGGTCTGGGAAGAGAAGCTTCTTCACCTGGATTTAGTTTTTGAGGACAGTGTATGCTTCTTACATTGGTTTTACCAGGGAGGTTCTTGTTGCTCTTGACAGTGGCAAGGATGGGTTTCTCCTGTCATGGCATGTATAATTCACATATGGGTTGGGTGGGCTTGCAGTCAGTTGTGACATTTGCACTTAGCATAGGTGTGACTTTGGCAAGTTTTTTTTTTAACTTCTAAATTCCATTTCCTCATCAGTAAAATGGGGATGATTCCTTGAGCTCTGGAACGTAGTGAGAATTTCCATCTGGGCTCATACTTAAGGTGACTATCCTGAAGGCAAGGTTTCATTTTCCCAACGAGATGTTTAAAAACTACTTTTATGATTAATTTGATGTAGTTGTCCCTCAGTATGTTGAGAGGATTGGTTCCAGGACCCTTATTGATATCAAAATCTGTGAATGCTCAAGTCTATCATATAAAATAGTGTAGTATTTGCATTGTAGATATGCACATCCTTTCATATACTTCAGATTGTCTCTAGATGACTTATAATGCCTAATACGATGTAAATGTTATGTGCGTAGTTGTTATACTATATTGTTTATGGAATAAATATAAAGAAAAAAGTCTGTACATGTTCAATCAGATGCAGTTGTAACAGAGACTTAGAGAGGTTGCCTTTGCTAAAAGCAGTGACTCTTCATTTGGGTCCATTCATACCCAGTGGGTAATGAAAGCAGGATAAAGCTTGACAATCTCTGCCTTCATTTTTGTCTGTCTCCTTTATTACCTTAAACTTTGGTTCAGGTCCCTCCCCAGCTCTGTGTATAGACGTGTTAATCATTTAAGTAGTGTTCATCTAAAAACTGGTAATACAAGAGTTATGAGCCCTAAATTTACCTAACCTATTTCATCCCCCTTTAAGACTGTAGGATTTGCATTCACTCATTTCAGATCCCTGGAATGACACTAGAAGACTTTAGCATTGTCCTGTAACCTTCCAGGAAATCACCCCATGATGAGACTGCCCCCCATTGCCTAAGCTGAAGCAGTCATCTCATGGCAGCTGAATTGCCCCCTTCCAGAATCACAGGCCTGATAAACATCCTGAGCAACAGGTGGAAATTATCCCCCTCAAGCAACATAAGGACTTCCCTGGAGTTTCCTTGAAGAACCAGAACCGAAATAATGATCAACTGACCCACAGTTTGACCAAGAGCGCTTCATTATGCATATCTCTCACCCTGTACACCAGTTCTTTCTCTGTCTAAACTAAAGCTTCTTTCAGCATGGTGAAGAAAGGGCTTAGATGATGGATCTTGCTTTGCCTTTCCAGTGTGGCCATATTGATTAAAGTTCTTATCCTGCTTTTTAAAATTTAGCATTTTACAAATATATGTTTAACAGTCATAGAATGTGATCTGCAATATGAATATGTAATAAATTTTTTGTAATATTTCTTGTTTCTCATTTCACAAAACTCCTACGCGTTCATCTTCATTAGCGTTTCTTCTTAAGTTTCTTTAACTAGTTTCCCAGAGCACATCATTGGTATTGATTTCTTACTGTGCCTACTTTATAAATTAAACTTTATCATAGGTGTGTATGTATAGGATAAACATAGTGTGTGTTTTTGAGAGGCTCAATAGGCTCATAGTGTGTTTGAGGTTCAATAGTAAGAGTTTTTTGAATCCATCTGTAATATTGGAAATTTCTCTCTAGCCTCAATGACTAATTCTCAAACATTTAGTTATTTTCCCCCCTGTAGTGGGATACTTGTGGCTCTACAACATGATAACTTGCTGTGTTGTTTGTTTTAAATGTTTAAAGTCATTTTAATAAAGCTTATTCACAAATTTTCTAGCACTAGCACTAAAGTTATGCCCCAGGGAATAATGAACACATTTATGTTCAGGTTTTTTTTTTTAAATGGGTCTTGCTGTGTTTCCCAGACAGATCTCAAACTCTTTGGCTCAAGCAGTCTTCCTGCCTCTGTCTCTCCAGTGCTGGGACTAAAGTCACATGTTCAACATTTTTTTTGCCTGGCATATGTTAAACATTTTTGTTTTCCCTTTCCATTTTTGAAATATAGGCTATCAGATGATTTCTATGCAGATCTGAAACTAGAATGATTGAATTAGTTCAAGCTAATGTATCTTTATTAAATACTATGTTGTTTTTCAAAACATGAAGAATTCTCCATAATATGAGAACTTATAATGACTTGGATATAAGGTGAGTCTTTCTTCTAAGGGATAATTTTAGCTAGGTGCAGTGGCTCACACCTGTAATCCCAATAACTTGAGAGGCTGAGGCAGGAGAATTGCAAGTTTTAGGCCAGCCTGGGCAATTTAGTGAGACCCTGCCTCAAAAAAAAAATTTAAAAACTACTGGAAATGTAGCTCAGTGGCAAAGCTTCCTGGGGTTCAATCTCTAATACTAAAAGCAAAAACAACAAAAGGGATAATTTTAGAGAGGACATATTCTACCTTATAAAAAAAAAGTGCTTAGCACAGTATTTGGCACATAGAAAATGCTCGATAAATGACAATTGTTTTATAAATTGGCCCTTTGTATAGAATTTTGGTAAACAAATGATAGGGAGCAATATATGATATTTTATGCATAGTAGGTACTGAAAATTGTTGTTTAGTTAAGGTCTGTCTCTATTTTATAGGTCAAATGAATGTATTTACATGTTGAGCAGCCTCTGTTATACAGAGCACTGAGCCAAGCAGTAGGAGAGGAAAATAGAGAAAGATGATCAAATTCTGCTAACTTTAATTCCTGTAAGAGATTGCATTCTTCAGAAATTCTTCCTCCTTGCTGGGTGTGGTGGTGCACACCTGTCTTGTAATCCTAGCTACTCAGGAGGCTGAGGAAGGAGGATCACAAAGTTTGAACCAAAATGTTTCAGAGTCAATGGTTGAAAATAAAAGTTTGTTTGGAACTTTATATTGAACAAAAGAAAAAGTTTATTTATTTTTGTACTGGAAATTGAACCCAGGGGTGTTTTACCACTAAGCCTCATCCCTAGCCTTTTTCTTTATTTTTTATTTTGAGACAAGGTCTTGCTAAGTTGCTGAGGCTGATCGAACTTGACATCTTCCTGCCTCAGCCTGCCAAGTTTCTGGGATTACAGGGGTGGACCACTATACCTGGATAACCTGGGCAATTTCACAGGACCCTGTTTGAAATGAAATGACGTGAAATAAAAAAATAAAATAAAAAAGAAATCGTTCCTCTAGTGTCATGGAGAGGAATGGGGGAAGGGAATAATTCTGACCTACAAGATTGGGAAGGTTTAAGAAGGTGGGATTTGAACTTGCTTTGGCTTTTTGACAGGTGAATTTTGGAGAGTTGTGTTTCAGAAAGACA